CGGCCGCCAGCCCTGCCAGCCCCGCTGGCTTCTCCAGGGACCCCGGCCACGCTCCCCACGCCAACCCCACCACCCCAAGCACACCCATCTCCTCCTGCTTCATTTTTAGCTCCATCTGGTGGCAGCCAGACCTGCAAATTAATATTTTTATTGCTGCTACGTGCGTGTCCCTGCCCTTTCCTGTCATGCAAGAAGTCCATCGCCCACCGGACACGGCTTCGGTCTTTAGTTTCTTGTAGGAGGGGACCTGGGCTGTGCATACGTGTGCGCTCCACTTGGGTGTCTGATCAGGCTGCAAAAGGTTTTACAAGGCGAGGGTTTCCTCTTGCAAGCGTGCCCGAACACTGCGGAAAATCCAGCCTGTTGCTTTTTCCAGCACAGAGCAGGCTAACCCGGCGCTGCCGCCTTCCCAGGGCACGGCGGCAGCTCCCGAGGGCTCAGCAGCCGCCTGGATCGGAACTTGTCACTCGCCTAAACCACGCTCCCACCTCCCCTCGCCAGGCCCCTCGTGCACTGAGGCTCCCTCAATTAGCAGCCAGGCTCATTGCTGCCATTTCTCACAGCCTGGGTGCTGCTCGGGCATGGAGAGGATTGCATAAACTTTATTAACTTTATATATCCCAGCCCTGCTGCTGTTTCAGTCCTAGCAGGCACCCCTTCTCCTGTAAACAGGCAAAATGGGCTGGTCAGGAGGAAACCCAAGCCCAGGCACTCCCGGCTGTGCGAGGCAGCCTTGCTCCCCACCACTGCTGCACCCAGGCACGAGAGGCTCGAGGTCCTCCTGGGTCGCTGTATCCCAGGACTGGCGAGGAGCTGGGGGCGGTGGGAGCAGCTCCTGGCTTTGCACCGTGGGCGTGATGAAGAGCGAAACAGGGTGAAGCAGTGTTTTACCAAGTGCTGCCTGCACCTGGGCTAAGCAGGCATTAAATATGTGAACCCAGACATACATTTTTCCTGGAATAACCTCATGATGGTGGGCAAGGCAAGGAGCCGGAGCGGAGCAGACTCTGCCTGTGCAGAGTCCTCGGGGCTGCTGCCTGGGAAAGAGGTGGCGGAGGCACACGGTTTAATGCACACCTGGATGAACAGAGACCAAAGAGGCACAAAAATGGTCATATCTGTGGTTGCAAGAGTGGGACTGGTTGCAAACCATTGCTTCCTGGGACGGAGAGGAGCAGCGTGGTGAGGGCAGAGCGGCCAGCGATGCCCTGCAAGGACTCACGCGGCTGGATGCACACACGTTTATTGATAAATACACCGGACACACACTACAAGAAAAATCGAGCGGAGCCACAACTGGACACAAACTGCAAACCTTCACGTTGGCGTGGGGAGCGGCAGGGACCTCCCACCCTACTGGCTGAATGAAGATGTAAACTCTGGGTGATGCCTTCACTACCACGGGGCTTCTCCAGACTGCTACACAGCCAAGCGCCGGCAATGCGTTCTCTGCAACTCGTTGCCTTTTCCCGTGCCCACCTCCCTGCATCCTGAGCGAAAACCATGGGCTGGTTTTGGGGGAATGTGCTTTCTCCAGAGCCCTGTCAGAGGGCAAACCACAAGGAAGGAGCAGCTTGGCAAGAGCTGGCCTGGAGGGTCTTGTGCAGAAAGGATGGTGGGAAGGGTTTCCTCAGGAGAGGGCGTTGAGGAGCCGTCTGTAGATGAAGCCCAGCTTCTCCCGCAGGGCCAGGA